AAGTTGTGCAGTCTTACACCCTATCACACAGTAATTTCATTCTAGGTATACAAGATCTGACAATTGGGTTTGTGAATTTGTTGCAATTATGTTGCTTACCTTTTTTGATATCTGAGGGATTATTCATTATAAATTTGTACCAACTGGACAGTTAACCAAATTTACTATTTGGAAGTGCTGAAAAGGCTGCATGAAAAAGTTAGATGACCTGAACTTTTCGTCAACAATTCATGGCTCTTGTATCAGAACAATGTACCAGTTCACACCACTGTCTGTGAGGGAGTTTTTAGCCAGTAAACAAATAACTATATTGGAACACCCTCCTTACTCACCTGATCTGGCCCCCAATGACTTCTTTCTTTACCCAAAGATAAAGGAAATATTGAAAGAAGGCATTTGGATGACATTCAGGACATCAAGGATAATATGATGACAGCTCTGATGGCCATTCCATTAAAAGAGTTCCAAAATTGTTTTAAAGGGTGGACTAGGTGCTGGCATTGGTGCATAGCTTCCCAAGGGGAGTATTTTGAGGTGACCATAGTGATAGTCAGCAGTGAGGTATGTAGCACTTTTTCTAGGATGAGTTTGTGAACTTAATTGTCAGATCGCGTATATCCTAGAGAAACTCCTACACAAGGTGATGAGTATGAGATCATTCATAGTAGAATATTTCCTAAGGACAAAAATCTGGAAATAACCCCTACTGTTATTGACAGAAAAATATTCAAATATTTAGGTATCCAAACACTGAGGTATTATAAGAAGAACTTTGTAAATGAATAAACTACTATTACTGGCTGGCCGAGTGGCACGTTGGTTAAGAGGTGGCTTGGGACGCTAGCTCTGAGCAGCAGGGCCCCAGTTCAGAACCCACATGAGGGCCAGTGACACTGCCCTCTACAGCTAAGATGGTGAACAACAGCTCGACCTGGAGATGGGCTGCAGTGAGTTGCGGGCGATGGTGTAGGCTGCAGCCCCTGCTGCAGTGGGCTGCCATAAGTTACCGTGAGTGTCTGGCAGCCAGTGTGAGCTGCCAAGAGCCGCTGTGAGCGGCCGTCCAGAGGCCGGTGACCAGCCTGCCTCACCCGGGAAGAGCGCAATGATAATACCAACATGGGCCAGTGAAGCGACGTCCTCCACAACTAGACTGAAGAACAAAAGGACAGCAACTTGTCTGTTTCCCTTCCCCAAATCCCCAACGCTGTTCCCCTCCCCCAATTCTCCAATAAAATCTTTAAAAAAAGCAAAAAAACCCCTAAACTATTACTGCATATAACAATATGCACGAATCTTACAAATCTTGCATGAAAAAAGTAAGTTCCAGTAGCTCAAGTTACAAAACAAGAAAAATTAACTAACATATTGGTTCATCTGCATATTTATGTGATAAAACAATAAAATACAAGAGAATGATGACAAATAATTTAGGATAGTGATTATCTCTGATGTGGCTTAGGGAGGGGCACAGAGGAATGGAATGGAGGCAGAAACATACAGATAGATGTAATATTACTAGTGTTCTAATGTAGTCCTTGTAATGGATTGAGTTCCTGCCCCCACCTTCAAAAGACAGATTGAAGCCCTAACCCCCAGAATCTCAGAATATGACCTTATTTGGAAATAGGGTCATTGCAGACGTAATTGATTAACACCCGGTCATACTTGAATAGTATGACTTCAATATGCATGGGGTCTTTATAAGAAGATGGTCATGTGAGGACAGAGACACAGGGAGAATGGTATGGGAAAATGAAGGTAGAGATTGGAGTGATGCATGTACAAGCTAAGGCATGCTAGATGAGGGACATGGAGCAGAGTGTCCCTCACAGCCCTCAGAAGGAACCAACCCTGTCAACACCTTGATTTTTGGACTTCTAGTCTCCAGACTGAAAAAAAAAATTGTTGTTTTAGCCATCCAGTTTATGGTACGTTGTTACAGCAGCCCTAAAGAAACTACCTAGTTTAAGCAATTCTTAAACTAGGTAGTAGGTGCGTGGGTGTTTGTTTTATAATTTACAACTTACAAATGTGTTACATATGTTACTTTTTATGTATCAAATAGTTATATAATAAAAATAAAAAGACCAAAGAAGTTATTATTATTTTCATGACTAGTAAGCTGGGGCATGTTTCTACTATTAATCTTTGTGGCAAATTCCAGAGAAGCTTTTTAGACAGTTTTATTAAAATTATAAAAATCAACTTCCAACAATCCCTTTGATTTTTATGGAGTTTTTATTTCAACCTCAGTGTCAGTGAGTCCCTGTTTTTGTGACTTACATTATAGTGTGCACATCTTCTGAGCAAATTGTCTGGCATCTAATCCAGAATGAAGGTGATTGCAAAGTGCACACCTGTCATGATATGTTATCTTTTAGGCTGACATTTAACACAAAGGGAATCCTGGATGTGTAAAATCACATCAAGGTTTTGAGCGTGGATGCGACAAAATTAAGTGCCTTCCCTAGCCTAGAAGCCCCCCCCAGAGCAGGGGCTGGTATGCTTTATTTGCACAGTGCCTGACACAAAGTAGTTGCTCAAGAAATTTGTTGAATGAAGGTATAAATGAATAGTTTTATGTGAGTGTCCCCTTCTCAGACGGAACAATACCAACTACCACTTTTCAGAAAAATTTATCAGCCATTCCCTACCACCCACTAATTTTTTTGATCTGTTTATTTCCCTCATTTGCTGATTCACCAGCTCTTCTTCCTTATCTGAGCACGTGTGTGTATGTGTGTGTGTGTTTGTGTGTGTGTGTGTGTGTGTTTCTTTTAAGAGTAGTTAGTTATTTAATTTCCCGTTACTACCAATTGTAACATATTCTTTTTATCTTGAGGAAAAGAGGTGTGGGTGCTTTAGAATCTTTTATTGCTACTCGGGTTAAATGTATTTTAATTAAGGAACAGAATCTAAAATATGAACTCCAAGAATACATGCAAATTAGATAACTTTTTTAAAAATTGGATTTATCTAGTACTTTGAAAACTAAATATTTTTTGAATATATTACATGATGAATATTATGATTTGACACTGCATTAATGAGGATTTTTATTCTCCTTTTACCTGGTAGATAGAGCCGCTGATGTTAGTGAGGTACACTAGTGAGGGATGGAGAGTTTTCAAGATCTTGAACTAAATACTGGAAATGCTGACTGTAACATTGATGAATTGAAACATTTGATATGTAACCAGGCAATGTCAGGTGTGGATGACGGATGAACAAGATTTCTGCAGGAATTCAGTTCATTGGGAGAGACATAAGTAAATAGATAATTGTAATGTAATGTGGTTAAATCCTATTAATCATTAAAATAAATAATGCTCTACGTCTTTCATATTTTTACTGTGGTTTATTACATAGTTGTTTGTTGGATACTGGTCATCCAGATATAATATTTCTCTACTAACCAGAATATTTAACCAAATTTTTCAATTCCCTGACCATACCTGAGTAACAGTTTATTTTACAAGTTATAATCATTATCATTAAAAAAAAACCACCCCTATATCTACCACAGGAGAAAACTGTGCAGTTGTTCTTTTCTATAGTGAATGGCTAATTTATTTTACTTTGCTTAAGCATTTTATGATCCTTTTCAATTTCCAGGAATTTAGAGGCCCCTTCTGCTTTTAGAATGGAGAAAAGAGTGTTTATTTCTATGTGGCACTGGTTTTTCACCTAGGTGGTGGCAGTATTTTACTAAAATAAAAAGAGTAAAGGGTCAGTAATAGATTCCCATAAATGTTTAGCTGGAAACATGAGATCCAGTTAATAGGTATGGATCAAAATGATATTAGCAAACAACAGTTACAGTATTAAAAATGGCTCACATCATAATTCCTAATGAAGTAGTAGATATTTCTTGATCATAAAATGATCTCCACAAAATTTGTTAGCTTCACATCCCTTTGGGTAAACATATCAGTAGAAATTCTCTCACCATTGGGTTTTCGAAATCGTTAAAATACTACTAATCCCTTACCTTCAGGTGTCCTTCCAGAATTCTTCACATTCCTTTCCGATCTCACATCACGTAGAAAGCTGGAAACATCGTCCAGCCCTCTAAGTGACAGCGAGTCCTACGCAGTGACCGTTTCCATTCACAACATGTGGCTTAAATCCCTGTTTTTAATTCACTGGATATTGGTCACTAAGCCCTTCCTCAAATACGTCATCTTTCTTTCTACCTGGTTTCTTTATCCTCTTCGCGCTGGATTTTGGAATGAGTTCAGTCTGCAAACTACAATCGGACAGTCCAACACGCTGTCACGACAGCTGTCTAGACGTTCCTCAGCTCTACAGAGTCCTCTTTTGCAGCCTTAGAGATGGCTCCTTTAGCATGAAAATGAGTTTAAAACAAAACTTTTCCCTAAGTGGTCGGGCTGCTGAGAGAGAGCACCTCTGATGCTGATGGGAGCGGGGTGGGGTGGGATGGGGGGCGTAACATTGGGCGCGGTGCCCTGGTCTCTCCTGATCGGGCTCTGGGCTCCTTGAAAAGGGGGCGGAGAGGAGAGAGAAGAGGGTGGGGGTGGAGGTCACCCGCGCCCTCCATCCCGCCCAGGCTACGAGCGCCGCAAGGTGCTCAGGGATCCGAGGAATCGAAGGTTCCGCCCTGAAGGAGAGCCTGGAGAGACGCGTGCGAAGGCTCAGCTGGACCTGGAGCGGGAGCCAGGACCGGAGGGCGGCGCTGCGCCTAAAACCTGCGGCGGCAGCGGTGCGGAGCCGAGCGGAGCGGCTGCGGGCTCGCGATGGCTCACCCAGCGGCGCGCTCTTCTGCTCCACCGTGAGCCCCGCGGGCGGCCAAGGATGACAAGGTAACCACCCCTCCGAGCGCTGGGTCCCCACGCGCCGGCCTCTGGATGCTCAGCACGACTGAGGCTTAGCCATCCCACCCCCGGACGCCCGGCAGCAGCTGCAGCTGTAGGGCACCTAAGCTTGCGCGTGACAAGTTGGGGTCAGATGCCCCAAGTTGGGGTGACCCCAGTGAGAAGGGTACTCTCGGTGACCCGTTCCACTTCTGAGCTGCGGAATGGGGACCAACTAGGTAGAAAAGGTCTCAGAAGAGGGAAATGGGCAAAGGAAGGGATCCCCTTCGCGCCCCTTGGTTCCCCGCCCGCGACACTTCGAGTCCCGCACCGGGGCCAGCGCCGGCCTTTGGCGCCTCCCGGAGTGGGAGGAAAACCGTTCCCCTGGCATGTGAGCAATCGCAGAAAGTTTCAGCAAGTTAGGAGGTTCGGGAAGGATGTTGCAAGCAGTCGCATGAGGGAGGCGGGGTACTAACCGGCGAAAGTCGAGCGGTGAGTAAGATCTGAAGGAGGCGGCGGTCCTTGGGGCAGCTCTGCCAGACCCACCCTGGCGGGTCCGAGGAAAGGCTGGCTCCAGAATTCCCAGCCTCCCGGAAAGCTGCTCGGGAAACGCCAATCGGATTAGTTCGGGGCGGGGTGGCTGTGGTCCTGGTTATCCAGGGTCTGTGACTCAGGCCTCAATTCACTAGGGAAACAGCCATGATAAACACTTCGTTTTGGATGTTGCTACCCTGAAGCTGTAGCTTAATCAACAGCATCTGGGTAGATGTGCCCACAGTGAGCAGGACTCGCCTCCTTTCCTATAGAGATCCAGGAATTCTGCACAGGTGGTAGCTGGACCAGAAAACCTCCCCACCACCACTCTGCCTCCTATGGGTCACTGATATGACTGGTTTGCTGTTATTTGATCTCAATCAAATAGTTTTAGAACTTACTCAGAGAAGCCCCATTTGACATTCGCCCTAAGTGACCTTGCTGGTCCACTCTGCCCTCCTTCCACGTTTTGGAAAAGATTGTTTTGTCTACTTGAAAAACAGGTAGCTTATCTAAGGAATAGTCTACAGTTTGGGACAAAGCCCATCAGAGAAAAAAAGCAGAAACTGTAAAAGGTCATCTAGTTATTTAAATAGACTGTTATGCTTTTAAAAACTTAATTGGGTTTAAATCTAATATAGTGATTTTGTAAACCTGTCAAGTGTCAAGAGGAGATTTATAAGATGCCATTTGCAGAGAAGCCATAGAGGTCAATCAAGGAGGCTCACTTTTTGGTACCTTCTTTACCTTGAAAATGAAATGTGGAACCATAGGCAGATGTGTGCTGCTTTCAGTATGATGCAACCTTGCTTATGATAGGCCAGATAAATCTGACTCCTACCACAGGGTGCTAGGGCCCTTCAGTCTTAAATGGCAGATGAGCAATGATGCAGTGCTCATAATTACTCTGTCTTTATGCTACAGACGCCTGAACTACAAGCCTGCACAGTTCTGAGAGGGAGATGACTTGAGCAACCAGCTTTTATCTCCACAACAATGTCCATGAACAATTCCAAACAGCCAGTGTCTCCTGCAGCTGGGCTCCTTTCAAATACAACTTGCCAGACGGAAAACCGGCTTTCAGTATTTTTTTCAATAATCTTCATGACGGTGGGAATCGTGTCAAACAGTCTTGCCATTGCTATACTCATGAAGGCATATCAGAGATTTAGACAGAAATCCAAGGCATCGTTTCTGCTTTTGGCTAGTGGCCTGGTCATCACAGACTTCTTTGGCCACCTCATCAATGGAGCTATAGCAGTATTTGTATATGCTTCTGATAAAGACTGGATCCGCTTTGACCAATCAAACGTCCTTTGCAGTATTTTTGGTATCAGCATGGTCTTCTCTGGTCTGTGCCCACTTTTTCTGGGCAGTGTGATGGCCATTGAGCGATGTATTGGAGTCACCAAACCAATATTTCATTCTACGAAAATTACTTCCAAACATGTGAAAGTGATGTTGAGCGGCGTGTGCTTATTTGCTGTTTTCATAGCTTTGCTGCCCATCCTTGGGCATCGAGACTATAAAATTCAAGCTTCAAGGACCTGGTGTTTCTACAAAACAGAACACATCAAAGACTGGGAAGATAGGTTTTATCTTCTCCTTTTTTCTTTTCTGGGGCTCTTAGCCCTTGGTGTTTCATTCTTGTGCAACGCTATCACGGGAATTACACTTTTAAGAGTGAAATTTAAGGGTCAGCAACACAGACAAGGCAGGTCTCATCATTTAGAAATGGTGGTCCAGCTCCTGGCTATCATGTGTGTCTCCTGCATTTGCTGGAGTCCGTTTCTGGTAAGAGCCTAACATTTTGACAATTTCTGCTTTCTTCCATTTTTTTCAGGTTCAATACAAGATTTGTTGTCTTTTTTATTTTCCCAAAATTATTAGTCTTGATGGGCAACACTGTTCAATCTTTTAAAGACTGGAGCTTACTTCTACTCTAAACTTATTTCAGCACTCAACTCTGGTTCGAGTTATGCTATTTATGACACATGGTTATTTTCCCAGAAACTCTGAGTTGAAAGAAATGTCTTGCGAACCAGTTCAACCATATTATTACCAGCTTGGAGTGTAGTATAAAGTAATTTTAACAGAAGTAACATAGTTTTAATATACTGAAAATGATTAGTTTCTAAAATGTGAAAAAAATTATAAACTCAAATACAATATTGGAATGGACTCCAGTTAGTCTTGGTAGAAAGTCACACAGACTTTTGATTTATGAAAAATATGTATTAGCTAGCTACAGGGTTCTTCTAAACACACAGTGACCAGGTCTCATCTTGAAAAAGGAGGTGATAAGTTGAGATGGTCGAACAGTTAAGTAACTATATGCGTAGATCCGGTGGAGAAACCACTAGCTCTGAATCCTGGGAACAATGGCAGCAGTGCAGGGAGAGGTATGATTGACAGGCGAGTCAGGAATCCATCCTTCTCTTATCATTTCATTCCTTTAAAAAAAAATTGGCTGAAAGCTATATTTGACAGCCTGATATTTTTACTGGAAATGAAGGCAAAGGTTAAGGAATGATCAACAAATACAAGTCATTTATATTACTTTCCAGGTAGAAGAAAAAAATACTTATGACTGATAAGTATACCTTAATTCCCTTCAACATTTTACTTTATCATGGAAAGAGTGACAAGATGCAAAGAGAAAAACAATCCTTCTATACAGAGCTACTGATTTTTTTCATTACGTTTTCTGTATCAGTGGAGAAACAGGTTGGTATCCAGAGATTGTGATATAGCTGATACACAGGTAGAGGTGAGGCAAAGGGGTGAGACAAAGGTAGACATAACATGAAGGTTATGTTTATACCCTACATGGTAATATGAAGGTGCTTGTTACTCGTACAGTTTTCCTAAGCCCCCAACAGGCTCATTGTCCATGAATTGTTGCCAGTGAAGTTTCAACAAACAACCTTGATGGCATTGAAAATTTCGTAAGAGCTGCTGCTGAAGACAGATCCTACGATAACCAATTTTACTTTACAAAAGGACTTTTAATTTTTGAATATTTATTTGTATTCATATTATTTCCTCACAATTTGAATTTAGCATTTTGAATTGTGAAATCATTTAAATATTTTTTTCATGATGTTCCTGAATTGGTCCTAGGAACCTAACCCAGGGGAGGTGAGGCTGGGTCTGTTAGTGGCAACTCAACATTCTGAGGCCTGCTTGTGGTTAATTTAGGGGGCTTTAGGGGAACTCAAACAGATCTGACCTGTGCTCATAATATAATTATTTGAATCTGAATAGCAGAGACCAGCTCTGTCAATACTTGAAATCACTTTAGTGTTCATTATTGAAGAGTTTAATTTATGCCCCTTCACAAAGGGAATTTCCTTAAAATAATGCTTCTTTTTCTTAAACTTTGAAATAGAGTTAGCTTTTCAAAATAAAAAGTGTTTCTGAGTAAAATTGAAATTAATTTGGGGGGAATATGAAGAAGGTGAGAAAAGAAGTAGCTGAAAATATTTAAAGACATTTTTTAAATGAAGGTCATAGCTCTCGAGAAAACCTGAAAACCATGAAATAGTGAACTCGGTGAGAGACAGATAATTTGGGCAACTGAGGTAATTACTAGTGCTTTGCTTTTTGTTTAGTTTGAGTTGCCTTTTGGCTTTTGACTTTGAGATATCAGAGTGATAAGCTAACTACTGTAAAACTATGGAGAGCAACAAGTTTCACTTTTGCCATGGATAGTTTGAATTTATGGTTTTCTTTCATTTCTTTTCCTAAATTTTTGGTTTCCTTCACTGTTAAAATGGATATTACAATTTTATTCATATTTTGAACATATTTCCTAGTGGAAACGTAATTTTATTCTCATAAAACACTTTCTGAGGTCAATATTCTATCTATAAATTATTGATATACCCATGACACCAATATATAAATCCTTCTAAAATGCTTTTTAGTGTGAAAATTATTTCTGTGTTAGGTGGCTAATAGGTATACCACAGATACTCCTTGATGGATTGATATTTTGTTTCAAGCATTCTTTGCATTCCTGGTTTCTCTTGTGGAGACTTGTATTCTTCATGGCAAGTTCAGGCTAAAGGATTTATACTTTCGTAGTCTGGACATAAGTGCCTTGGGCATTAGATTAAAACCATTTAAACAGTTCTAAATGGAGCCCGAGTCAAAAACTCAGGCTTGGGAATGCCAAAATAATACCCAACTTGAGTATCTCAGTTGAAACATTTCTCTTTTTTTCCTTAAATGCCTAGGAGGAATTGCATAGAAATTGGTGACTGAGCCATCGTTCTCCATCCTATATTTTAAAAGCTTTTTAGTTTTAAATATACCTCTGAAACCAAGCTTCTGGATTCCCATAGATGTATTATAATGGTGACAGCTTCTAGATCAATGCCTTACTTTATGCCATGTACCTTCTCTCTTGATTGATAAGTATGAATTGTTGGATTTGTAATTTTAATAAACACCTGTGCACACTCTTCCACCTGTGTGCACTGCTATTTTCAGGCCTGAAACTGGAAAAAAGGTACATGTGCATACACTAAGAAGAGGAAATGCAGATGACGGAGCCTGTGCTTGACGTGATTTATTGCATCAAAACTTACTAATAATGGCATAATTTCTAAAATGATTTAAATCTGTAGTTGATCACAAAGGGCATACTTGATTAATTTTGACGATTGAGTTTGATCCATACAAAGTCAAGATGATCATGATGTTTATTTGCATTCTCTCTTTCTATTTTCAATTGATTGGTTTTTTTTGGGTAGTTTTAGGTATACAGAAAAATGACTGGAAGGCACAGAGTTCACGTGTACCCCCTCACGTCTCCCATTACACCCCTGCTCATCCTTATTTTTAACATCTTGCATTGGTGTGGTACCTGTGTTATAATTCATGAGCCATTGCCGATGTATTGTTATTGAATAAAGTCTCTAGTTTACATTAGGGTTTTCTCTTAGTGTTTTACATCTTGTGGGTTTTGACAAATGTCTGTTGACATGTTTCCACCTTTACAGTGTCACACAGAATAATTTCACTGCCCTAAAAATCCCCTGTAGTTTTTTTTTAAAATTTAATATGTCATTCTTCCTAAGAAGAAATATGTGGGTGTTTTCAGGAACTGAGATTTAGAAATGCAGTGCGATCATAATATTAGCTTAAAATATAACTTGTTCATGACTTTTCAGATTTTACAAAATCTGGATTTTATAGTTTTAAAAACATGGTTAACATTTATAAATTAACTTAATTACAATCCCAACTGAAAAACACAGGAAACCACAATAGGCATTTATTAGCTGATAATCCCATTTAGCAATATGTTAATACAAAATATTTGAGAATCAAATGGCAATTACAAAATTGTCTTGTGTGTATACTTGTGAATCCCTTTCCCTAATGAATAAATCTTGAAGATGTTCTTTTGATGTTTCTCAAGTGAAGGGGAAAAAGACACTTAACAGCACTTTCAGTAAGATTTTCTTAATATTTTTGTTCCTGTCCTTATACAGGTAAGATTCTTTGTAATGTTTCATTTCTAGACTATGTAACCCTAAAAGGAATTTATTATTATTGCTATGCTTATTTCATCAGTTTGGTAGAGCAATAAATACTTGTTGACTGGTTGACTGTAACTTAAGTAGTATGAATGTCAAGAGATTGCAAATGATTGACCAGAATGTGGATTCTGAGTTTTGTAGGTAAGAGTTAATTAAGCAAATACTGAAACCAAATGGTAATTTTTAATCTGCTCCCTAAGTTAGCAGCTATAGACTTCTGACACTATTAAACTTCAGTGATCTCTTATTCGGCCACACATTCGCTTACCTTCCCTTTGGGGTTAGAGGATCATTTTGAACTGGGAAAAGAAGTATAAAGTATATGAAGGACAAAATGATTTCTAATGGAGGTGAGTTTTCTTAAAAAACACATTCTCCTGCAAATGTCGAGTTTGAATTTGATTTTTGTAAGGTTGTTACTCTTATGCTAGTATTTCTAGTCAATGTAGTTAAACATTGGGTCACTAAGGTGTTTGTCAGATATAAATGAAAGACTTAGGCAGTTAATTGAATTTTGACTGAATTACTAGAGATATTGGCATTATAATAACCAGGTCTTAAAGAGCTAATGGCAAATGATGGAACAAAGCAACATCATAGAACATCTCAACTATGAGTGAAAATTGTTTTCTTTGAAAGGCAGGTCCCCATTTTCATATTTAAGAACTGTAATGGCAATCTATATATGTGTCTTATGCACTTGCTAGTACACCAAAAAGATGGTAAATGTACATGTTTTTAAGTAACAAGAAAATGTGGAAACTGTATAAACGTGTGCATATATAATGTGTACATGTGTAAATTTTTTCCAAAGTTAAAAACATTAATTGACCAATCCATCATTGGATTTAACTGCACTAAATTGAAGAGCTTCTAATGGGTTAGAAATTAAAAATTAAAAAGAAATTGGACTCTTATAGTTTTATGTTTGATCTTGGAAAGTACATTTTTTTTGGTTTGTTCTTGGATTGAGGCTGATTTTAGAGGCAATACTGTCTTAAATTATTTTAGCTGGTTTCCTTTATGAAGTGGGAAATGCTCCCATGTTTGGAATATGGAAGCAGCTGTGATAGAGGACTGATGTTGACACTTGGGTTCTACTACAAAATTCTCTAACAACTCAGACACTTACAACTCAAAATTCATATCAAGAAGAAAAAGTATATTTTAGAGCCATATTAATGTAGTTTACACTATGAGAATTCAGACTGCTTTTGTGTTTGGGTGGACATGGAATACGTG